CGGTCGTATGTGCAAATATCTGTCTGTGGAATAAAGCTATAAATTGTTTTCCATTAATTTTATATATATATTTATTATATAAGTAAATATATGTGTTGTGGGAATGAGTAATCAATTTCCACTAAGGTCAAGACCTCTGAAAGAACAGATTTTTGATATTAGGTATTTATTATCTCCTTAGTTTCAGAAGTGGAACAGATTTCTACACATGTACGTAGTTCTAGCACGTATTTCGAGTATCGGTGCAACTGCAAGTCGAACTCTTTGAATGCAATTTGATAGTTCGCCATAGTTTTCGATGACATCACTTGAATGCATTTGTGAAATTGCCCAACGTTTGATTTAGGTTTTGGGATTGGGATTGGAATTGTTTGGGATTGTGTTTTAAGCACCCGTTGCACCACCCTCCCAATTTCGATTCAAAATCCCACCATGGATGAGTAAATATGTACGAAGGTCGGTCGCCCCCCGCCCACTTCCCCCACCCCATCCATGTACAACAAGTCGTGCTCTTTCGCCTGCTCTCTCTCTTTTTCTCTCAGCAGCCAAGCAGAGACCCCCACTCCACTCTACTAAATCCCCCGTCCACCCCGTGAGCCCCTCTCCTCAACGCCTATGTACAATGGCCATAAGATATAAGATATGCGCATTTCTTATAATGTCGAACCGAAACGTGGCAAAATAAATATGTTTGTTTGCTAAGCTGTGTCTTGCCTTTTAATCATTTTAAAGATTTTTATTTCATATTTGTTGTGTTTCAATACTTTGACCCATAGGGGGTTTTGAATGAACATTAATAAAGAATAATAAAACGGCTTCAATAAAGATTGTGGAAGAGTTAGTGACAAAGTCCTTGGGCTCTATTAAAAATTCGTATTCATATATAAAGGTACTAGAGAAAATCGTTGTAGTTGTATTTGTCGTAGTGGTTTAAATGAATTTAGATGTAGATTTTACAATTTATGATTAGTTTTATAGCTCGAAAGGGTTAAGATGAAGATGTAAATAATTTAATATTGGCGTTTCGGGTGGGCGATTTTAAAGTAATTCTACCGTGTTTTGCAAGAATGTTGAGTATATGTAAGGAATTTTTTTTTTTTTTTAATACCTTCAGATATTAATACAATGCTTAAAATTCTATTCAACTTAACTTTATGTATGAACGAAATTGAATATGAAACTTTACTCCATTATCAATTATAAATTTTTTCGTATTAGGTATTATTAAACTGAGAATTTTGAAATAGAATTTTTGAGTATGCATTAGCATAACCCCAAAGTGTGAAAGAAAGTTAAATTATAATGATTATTTATCCCAAGGGCCGATAAGCAACTAATATGCAAATCAATGGGTGGGAGGTTGGAGTTGGGGGTGTAGCAAGGGGATAGGGATTTGTGGGGTGGTGCTTTTGGGTGGCCAGACCCCAAAAACCGCTGCCCGCTTACCTCTCTCTTTCTCTCATTTCGATGTCGTCTCGCGTGTGTGCGACGTGCGCTCTCTTCTTCCATCTTACTCTCGCTCTCCCGCTTCCTCCTCTCGCTCTCACCGCACCGCACCGCGTTCACTCTCTCTCTGTCGCTCTCACCGCAGCCACATCCAAACACATTTCGCTTGCTTTGCTGTTGCTCTTTGCTTTTGTTTGTGTTGTTGTTGTTACTTTTGTTGGTGCTGCTGCTGGCCGCGCTATGTACACAACTGTACTTTTGATTTAACCTTATTTCTTTTGCTTTTTTGCGTCGTCGCTGCTAGTCATTCGCCTCTAAGTTTATTTACCCCCTCCCCATCAGTTTTTTATCTCCCTTGGTCACTTTAATAACTCCCTAATATCGCCCTCGCTCACTTTGGTATTGATATCTTTGACTAATCCATGTAAAATTCCATCAAATTTGCATTTACTGAATGTGAATGTGTCGTCATCATCAATATTTTACCTCTTCAGGTGCCAACGACCCTTGAACTTGCACTTGAGCATAAGCTACACTTGTTCCTAACTGACCCCCTAAGATCATCAAGTATCTGAGTATCCCACAACCTATTGTGAAGTTAAGCTGTGCAACTCAAAAACGCTAATTGAAGCACATTTAGCGCGCTATTAAACACAATTATAGTCATACAAATGCCAAACGTCGCAACAAATCGATAAAGTCGGCTTTTTTCTCGAAGCCGGCCAGGGGTTAAAGGGTAAGGGGGTGGATAATGCCTGAGGAGGGAGTGGAGAAGCTATCATCACGCATAATGGTCGCGAGCATTAAAAAGCATCTATAAAAATTTAAAAATGTTTGCATTAATTTAATAAGAAAAAGCTGACAATCATCAAAGCACACAAACTCACACACTTTAGCAAGCAAACATACACAATCTCACGCTGTGGAATTAACTCGTACAAACAGGCCAACAAATTCAACGCACAGTGGCAAATATTCTTAGCAACAATCGTAAAATTATGTATTACAATTAGGCCACAATAAAAAGAAAAAGTTTCAAAATAAATATTTACCAATAGTAACAATATTTTTGAGGAATTAGGTAGGTTTCATAAAAATTACGAAAAAAATGTTACTACCTATCGGTTATATTTTTGAGATATTTAAAATATACATTTTTTTAAACTGTTAAACAAAATAACGATGTTAGTTTAGAAGTAATAGGTAAAATGTAACAAACAATATTTATTTTTTCTTAGGGAAATATAAATTCCCTAATGTTACCAGAACCTGTTAACCACTGTATCTTTTTCACTCAATGTTATCGTCGCCCACTATCGCGCAGCACGCTTTGCCACCTATTATCTGGTACACCCCGCGAATGCGACCCACTGTGCACTGATAGCGGACAGCACAATCTGATGACGACACAAGTGTCGAAAGTAACGAGACTCCGCCGACAGCCGTCGTTTTTAGGGGAGCGGGGAGAGAGGAAGAGCTGGTTGGGGAAGAAAAAATAATAAAAAACGAACGAGTAAGCGTGCTCATACACTCGACTTACATAGTATGTGTTTGTTTGTGTGCTAACTTTCAAAGCGAGTTAATTTATAGCACGTTGGGGACAACAATGCCAAGTTGTTTTATTTTTTTTATAGTTTTTTTCTTTTTTTTTTGCCCCAGCTTTGTGTAATTATGCCATTTGATTCGCTTTTCTTCGGCCGGTATCTGCAAAAGTGGATTCTTCTCGGCAAGCTCCGTTTTGCCAGGGTTGTCACCTGCTTTAAGGTATTTATTTTACGATCCGTCGTTTATATTTCATTTTAATTGTGACGCTTATTGCTGGTTTATTGTTGGTGTCTTGTTAAAATGATTTCATTGACTTTTTGATATTGTTTGTGTGTGCTTTTCAAAATCAGCGGCAGGTGAATGTTTGTCGTATTTGCTGGGCTTTGTTGTTTGTGCTTTTGTGCAGCTCAAGTTGCTTGAAAGGTTTATTCACCTCCCGCTCTCACGTGTCAGGTAGCTCTTGTTGGTTTGTGATTGTGTGCGCCTGTTTTCGCTGGTTTGAATCTTAGCTAGTTATTCTACTACTAAGTACAGTGGAGCTCGCCGAATAAGATGTAACTGGAAGTATACATATATACATATGTACATAAACGTTTAAAGTGACCTTGGATTTCTTGTATATAAACGCAAAAGTTAATAATAGAGTAATCAAATGATGCATTTAATATTAATCACTATTAGTTTAAAAGAAAGTCTCGTTATGGTCACCCAAAACAAATAATCATAAAAAATTTTAAAGTAGCTGAAACTTAACAAACCTAACTTTTTGGGTCAATTTTAATAAATTATCATCCTTTTTTTTTTGTGGGCAGAGATTTTAAATCATTCATTCCCTAATTTGTCAAATTAAATAAGCTGGTTATTGCTAGCGAGTCACCACAGTCTTACAAGTTTCTCACCCCACCAACTAGCTTGGTTTTCATGTAAATTTTCTTGTAGCCGCAAAACCAGCGGCTTTGTATGCGAAAATTTGTTAAATCGAAAACGTGACTTGTTTGTGGAGATGTCCGAATCGAAAGAAATATTTCGCTTTGGCGCTCTTTCACTAACACAAGCGCCACAAATCCACTTACACTTGCATATCTACGATCAAATCAGATTTGATTTGTGATTTAGTGCAGCTTTCTCCCATCTCTTTTTCATTCCTTCCTTTTTTTCTCCTTGGGGGAATATGTATACATCGGTTTACAACAAGGTCATCGCCTTAATAAATTGAAATCGGATATCTTTATTTTTTCTTAACACGGAAAAGAGAAAAAGGTGATACAGATACAGATACATTTAGGGGTTAGACAGTCGCACTTCCGCTTTCAAAGTGCCATGATGGCAAAAGAAAAACAAAACGAGAATAAAAATGGTTAAAAGGAAACCCAAGTTCAACCCTTGGTAAAACACGAACGCCACAATATCCCCTTTCCTTGCCACGCCTCCTTAACCCCTATTCACACACAACCCCGCTATGAATGTTTACAATAATTGACATTTTTTATGAAAAATTTCTCTTGTTTTTATACCCTTGCAGAAGGTATTATTATAATTTTATACAAAAGATTGCAACGCAGTAAAGTATATATATAAAGTATATATATTCAGCATTACTAGCTGTGCAAATTAGTCTCTCAGTTTTAAAGCTATTTGGATGAAAGTCTTATTTCTATAACGACGAGACTATATCATATAGCTTTCATAGTAAAGACCGGATTATAAAAAACAGCTTCGTTTTTATTCTTTCAACATATTTTAAATTTTACAAAAATTAGTGGTTTATTAAAAGCTGCTTAAAATATTGTTATTTTGATAGAATTAAATCTCAGTAATAGTCCAAAATGTAACTAATTTCTCTAAAAACCTTATCTATGTTCATTGACACATTATTCAAAAGCGAACGTTAAAGAAAGAAGAACGATATAATCTTTAAATCGTGTGATTAATTAGTTAATAATAAACCCAAAACTTTTCCCCATTTGGTCACCTTAACTAATCGATTTTCTTTTCCTTGCTCTTTGCAGTTGACCAAGATACAACATCACGACGACGCGACGAGCGAAAATGGCCAAAATGGAGGTCGACGACGTGGTCGACTTGAGTTTAGGGTCCGGTCGTGATCCGGCGTTGACCATAACGCCGGCTCCATCTCCGGCGGCGCTTAGTAATCGGGATCTGCGAGCGCTGACGGCCAACAACACGGGTCTGACCATCACTCCATCTCCGGCGCCGGCGACCAATAATGGCACCACCACCAATAGCAGTAACATTAACTCCAACAGCACCACCAACAATAGTAGTAATACCACCAATAGCTCCAGCACAAACAACAACAGCATCAATGCCAGTGAAGGGGTCACAGGTGCGACAGGTGGTGGTGGTGGTGGATCCTTGGGTGGCGGTCAGGATGAGAATAAGGTTCAAAGGCGGGTCCTGCGACCCCGAACCGAACCCAAATCCTATGCCGAAGCACCGGACATTGTGTTATTACCCGCTCGCACCAATGGACGTCAGCAGAATGGGAATATAGATTCTGAGACAGATGACGAGGAGATGCCGCCCTATGTGCCCATCAAGGAGCTGAGTCATGCGGAGCTCAAGGAGCGTGAGAAGAGTCTGAGGAAGCTGCGACAGGATTTGCGTAATGAGGAGACCAAACTGATGCTGCTCAAGAAACTGAAGCAGTCGCAGCAGGTGATGAAGGAGAATATGGTGGTGACCCCGACCAGCGTTTCGCCCAACAATCCGCTGGCCGCAATTCCCGCCGCCCTCACCTCGAAGGGATCGCTGAGTGTGACGCCGACGTCGGCTGTACCGCTGCCCGCCCACAGCAAGGGCAGCAGGAGCAGCTTAAGCGGCAGCGGCGGACCGGCAGTGAGCATCAGGTGAGAATTTGGATTAATTACGACTTTGTGTTATTTATTAATAATGCATTTTTTAATCTACAGCGCCACCAACAGTCGAACGGGAAGCTCAAGTTCAGCGGTGGCGGCCGCTTCTGCAATGGCAGCTGCAGCGGCCGTCTTGAGCGGTCAACATCGCAGCAGCAGCAGCAACTCCATCCTGCCGCCGCCAAGGTCATCGCTGCCAGCGGGCGCCACATTAGCCGCCGGTACCACCATCACGCCCGCCACCTCCTCATCACACCGCTCGAGCAATCTGCCGCCGCGCACCAACCTGCCGAATCTCACCATCACGCCCTCGGTGACCATCACGCCCACATCGGCGCCGCCCTCCAGTCTGAAACCACGCAATGTGAGTTATTGTAATGTAATCGTTGCCGTAAGCGCCGAGTTTTTCTCTCACCTTTTGTCCAAAAGCACCAAAGACACTGCAATTCACTACACACATATATAGGAAAACATTTGATAAGAACAAACATATTCAAAACACACTTAAGAAACAAAAACTCACGCTTACCAACACAAAACTCATTTAAGTCTAACACACTTACCACATGAAAGGAGCAAGATATATCAAAAACTGCGATTAACTAATTTAGAGATTTAAAAATGTTTCCCTAAGAAACATGTTTAATTTATTTTAAAATTTTAATATAATTTAACCTGATTTATAAAATTGTAATATGCCTAACTATTCAGAAATCAAATCCAAAACTATTTAAGTTCTGAAGACCATGTTTTAATTATTTAAAAGAGAAATGTCAATTGTCATTCTTGTTAGAGGTGGAAAGATTTCGCAAATATTGTATTCAAGTGTTTAGTATTTTTGCATATTATACCTTGATTTCTTATACCAATTAAGGCTTGCATATGTATATGTTTGAAGAAACCTTTCGATAGTTCTTGCTGCGTAACACTAAACAACATTAACAAAAGTTCACAACTACTTTTCCAACATTGCTACTAACACTACTCACCTGTCAAATCAGCCGAAGTCGGCCTCTGTATGGGGATTTTCCAAAAACCGAGGAGGCTTCGTGCAAGTGGCACTTAATATTCCTTCATTTCTCGTATTCATTTAACTTTAACTAATATCCCAACTACTAAAAACGCAACTTTGCTCTGTACCCATATTTGCCATCCTGTAAAAAAAATCAAAAAACAAAAAATCGTTGAAACATGCAGCCTAATATTTCGGATAATTCGAAGGTACCTGGGACCATAAGCAATTCTGTATCCATCACGCCGGCGCTACCACTGTCCCAATCGCATCAGAATCAGCACAACGAGCAAAAGGTGAGTGCTCATGTCAAGACAATTGTTTTATAGATAATTAATAAACTAATTAACGGCAGAATGATCGCTCCACGCCAAGAGAAGATGCTCAGACACCTGCTCAAAGACAGGCGGCAGCTAAAATGGCCCTTCGCAAGCAACTGGAAAAGACGTTGCTACAGGTAAGTGAAAATATCTGTTACGAAATATAGAAATTTTGGTTTTATACTCGTTTATCTTCAATAGATTCCCCCACCAAAGCCACCACCGCCAGAGATGCACTTTATACCCAATCCCAGCAATACGGACTTTGTCTATCTTCTTGGTTTGGAAACTGTTGTGGACTATTTGACCGTCAACAAGAAGGCCAATGCTGTGGCAGCTCCCTTCCGTTGTGCCCAGTGCAAGATCGATTTTACGCCTGTGTGGAAGTGGGAGAAGCAGAGTAAGTTCATCCTTAGATCGTGAAATAGCTTACCTATAGAACCACTTTAAAAGTTTGTTGCCAACTTAAATCTCACATAAAGCACCTTACATTCTACAATAATGGTAAATTTGACAGATAAAACGACTTGAAAAGTTAAATTTCATTTTTAAACTTAAATAAAGTAACATATATTGTATAATAAAGTTAGACTCTTACTTTAAAATTAAACAGGATTTTATAAAATGGATTTTTTTCTGTATTAAAATAAAGACTGAATTAAATTAAAAGTCAATCATCTCCGTTCTGTCTGTCCCTTACCAAATTTATTAACTTAATCGTTCAATACTAAAACATTATCTCGGTTTAATACTTATTTCAAAACTTTTAAGACCAAACAAATAGATAACTAATCTAGATAGATAACTTGGGACCTAAAATCTAAAAGAATACAAACTAATCATCTAATGACTTTCTCTCTATTTACAGCCAACAAGGATCCCAAGGTGATTTGCGAGCAGTGCGTCACCTCGAATGTGAAGAAGGCTCTTAAGGCGGAGCACACCAACCGACTGAAACAGGCGTTTGTGAAGGCGCTGCAGCAGGAGCAGGAGATCGAGCAGCGTCTGGCCAGCCAGAGCAGTCCCTCGCCAGTGGACACCCATGGATCGAGTGGTGGCGGTAACTCGCTCTCCGTCTCCGCCGTGACCAGCAACTCCTCATCGTCGCACCTGCAAAGGGAACGGGAACAGTTGCAGGCGACGCACGCTTCGGCGGCGGCTGCTCTGGTCAATTTGCCGCCGTCGGTGACGGTGATACCCACCAAATGCCACACGCCAACACCAGCGACACCGCGTCCAACGCCGCCGCCACCCCAAAGTCAAGCCACACCACCGCCGTCTTCGGGTGCGTCGCGATCCTCGCGAGCAGCTGCCACGGCTGCAGCGGCCGCCATTGCCGCTCAGCAGGCGGGAATCCTTAGTCCCGGACCGACAGCAGCGCATCACCATGAGGCGTCCACCTCCTCCAGATCCTCCCGCAACGATCGTCTCGATCACCATCACCAGTCGCAACAGCAACAGCAGCGCGATCAGCGCGACAGAGATCAGCAGCGGGATCAGCAGACGCAACAGCAGCAGGCCCAGAGCTACGACAAATACTCGGCGGCCACGCTGGCGGCGGCTGCTCATCTGAGTGCCCTTGGCGGCATGGGTGGATTGAACATGAATAGCTTGGCCAGTCTGGGTAACCTCGGTAATCTGGGCAACCTCAGCCAGCTGGGCAATCTGGCTGCATTGGGAGGATTGGGCAATTTTGGAGGAGCCTCAACGGGCTCATCTAATCCGGCGGCAGGACTGGGCAATTCTTCGCCAGCTGCCACAGCGGCGGCCATGCAGGCTTTCCAACAGCAGCTCTTTAGAGGTGGGTTTATATGGGTTTTGAAAGTCTTTATATTTTACTAATCTGTGTACTCTTTCTTTTAGCTCTGGGACAAGGTCTTGGAGGCAATCCGCAGCATATGATGCAGTTTGCTCCGCTTCTGTATTCCTACCAGATGGCCATGGCGCAGGCGGCACAAGTGGCAGGTAAGCCATCAATAAGTTTAACTGGAAATTTTATAAATGACTGCGAACAATAGGAAAGGCATAAATAAAATATCTATTTATCTTATCTCCTTTTTAAACTCAATTTAAAACCTACTTTTAGCTCATGATAAATTGAGTTTAAAAATTACTTTTAGTTAATCATGAGGTAGAGTAAATAGGACTAAATGTTTTTTTGAATATTCATTAAAAACCAATAAAAGTTTGAAATAAATATCTTAATTCAAATTAATTTTATTAAAACCAGTCAGTTAGTGGGTTAAACTTTTAAAATATTTACAAAACTGTTCACAGATTGGAAATTGATATATGTTTTTTGTTTTAGCTTTCAACAATAACAACAAGAAGAGCAGCTCATCCTCCGGATCGGCGAAGAACTCGAGCAGCGCCAGCAGCATGGCGGATGTTCAGCGGGCGGCGGAGCTGCAGCGCCAATATCTACTGGAGATGATTCCACCCCAGCAACAGAGCGGAGCCAGCGGCAGTCGCCAGAACAACTGGAAGGCCTAAGAGGCCGCCACTAACGACAAATTACAATTAATATAAAACTAAACAGAAGCAGATGCAGCAGCAGTAAAAACTATTTTTATGGTTTTCTTGATTAGGTAATTTTATAATTTTAACAAAACGGAAGAAACAAAAAGAATTATTAAGAAAACAACATCAAATATACACGTAAATATTAATTATGCTACTTGTAAACAATAATTATACATAATTATACAAAACGGAAGAAGCAAAACAAAGCCGATCTAAACATAATTGTTAGTAGTTTCCTTTTTTGTTACCACTGCATTAAATATTTTAATTAATTTGCCAGCCAGAATATAGCAGCCGATAAATGAATGCAACCTTTTACGCTCCTAGTAATTGAATATTAAATATGAATAATATTGAATCCTAGCTTGTAAGAAGATTGCCCCGTTTTTCTAGGGGCACACACACACACCATTCACTCCCCCCTCGCCACACCTTTTTGTAATTGTTAACCTTTTTTGGGGGTCCCAAATAGGATTGGTAATCCTTATCGATAGAAAGCCCGCTCCCATTTTGGTCTTATTCAACAATTTTGTCGTACAATTCGTTTAGTTTGTAGCATCGTGAATAAATCTATAAATAATAATAATTATATTTTTTAATCAATTTTAAGCATATGCATAGTATTAGTTGTAAACAAATTTTTAGGGTATAATAAATTACAGAAAACAATTACACAAAAATTCTTGCATTGCCAGCCACACCACATAATCCACGTTTCATCGCTCCACACACACATCATAATCATTTCCGATATCAAATCCTCCACATGCCTTATCCATGTTACAGCTCCGATACGAAGTTAGTACTGTTATTTAGTTGAGACCGCAAGGGATCCAGCAACCATATAAAATACCACGATCGTCTCTTAGGACTGTTTGATTTTGTTCCAATTCAAATGCAAAACATACATCGAAAACTAAAAGCTAAAAACAAACCGTAAAATATTTTGTACATATATGACAGATGAGATATTCATCTTCGGTAAACCGAAATTTATATACTCTTCCCATTAGAACAGAAACGATCTTCAGGTTTTCGATTCTCCATTGAAAGTGAGCTCCCCCCAAAAATGGGGGAATATGGGCAGACATGAATATAATATTGACTGAATATTAGCATATACACAGAGTAGGAATCTAGACAGAAGCAGAGGCTTGCATAAATCCCTAAACATACGAAGTAAAACATATATATTTTTGCTTTATCGGACGGCAGTTGTAGGTTTACATTCAGGCGAATCATTCGGAAACAAACCAAATTCACTTTGGGCATGCGAAATCAAAATGTGATCAAAATATGAAATTACAAAAAACGTAAGAAAATGAGAATAAAATGGAAACAATTAAATGGAAACAAGCAGATGAGAAATTCATAATTAATTTAAGCTAAATAAAAAAAAACTAAAAATGCATTGTAATTCATTCGGCATCAGTTTCAGTGTGTATGTGTGTTTGAAATTCTATGCTAAATGTAAAACAGTATAAGAATATAACAGTTTTTAAACCAAAATTGGTTGGTTTTAATTGGTTGTAATTTTGGGAGGAACTCAATTTATTATATTCGTTGATTAATTTTTGAGTTAACCATTTGAAAAAGGATGGCGGTATTTTTTAAAACTGAGCGACTTATGGTCTAAAGCAAGTTGTCAAAATTAGCAAAGCATGGAAAAAATTTAAAAATTAACATTCAAAAAAATTTAAGTTTCTTAAACTGCTTTTTGAAATTAACTTTTTGAATAATGATTTTAAAATACCCAGTGTTAGATTATTTTCATTAATATTGGTTTTCGTACACAATTGACTTACACAATTTTTTTTTTTTATGATCGTGTTAAAAATCATATTAATTAAATTCCAATGTTAATAGTTTTATATAATAATTATGTTTTGTGAATATTTGGTAGTAATTTTAAATTTGTTTTTAAATAAAATTGCGCCAATATTGAAATCAAGATTGCGCCAAGTTATCGCTTAAATGGCGCAATCGAAAAATATCGAAATTAGTCCATCGCTGGCCCACACAGACACCCGCACATACACACCTTCGCAATCGCACGCTTCTCTTAATTTAGCCAAATAAAAAAAGAACCAGCTTTTTTTGGGCCCCATTAGTTGTGTTGTTGGTTGCTGGTGCTATACGAATAAAAGGCCACGCGATGATAAGCTTTCTGTTCATTGTAAATCGCGCTCTCAGCAGCAGCACGCTGACCCTATCGAGCAAGAAGATGTCCGCCCCGGGACCACGCCCCCTCGTCCTCTGCGGCCCCTCGGGATCTGGGAAGAGTACGCTCCTGAAACGCCTGTTTGCCGAATTTCCCAACACCTTTGGCTTTAGTATATCCCATACCACGCGGAAACCACGGGAAGGTGAGGAGCATGGTGTGCACTACTACTTCGTGGAACGGCCCGATATGGAGGCGGCCATCGCCGGAGATGAGTTCATCGAGACGGCCGAGTTTTCGGGCAATCTCTATGGAACCAGCAAGGAGGCTGTGCGGGAAATCCAGGCTCAGGGCCGGGTCTGCATCCTGGACATCGAACAGAAGGGAGTGGAACAGATCCGCCAAACGGATCTCAATCCCATACTGATCTTTAATAATCCACCGAGTATCCAAGAACTGGAACGACGGCTGCGTCTACGTGGCTCCGAAACGGAGGAGTCGCTCAGGAAACGCCTAAATGCCGCCCAGGTGGAACTCGATTATGGTCTGACGCCAGGTAACTTCCACAAGATCATCAACAACGTGGACATCGAAGTGGCCTATGAGGAGTTCCGTAACTTTGTGGTCAAGGAACTTAAGGAGCAGGAGAACCAGGGAGTGCCCATCAGTCTGAATTAAGGCAAGGACTCTTTGAACCAGTGTGCAATGATATTAACCTCAGTAGGGTGGTGTATATAGTTTTCTTTATAGAAAAATTCGAGGGCAAGAAAAGTAATCCATGTTAAGCTTTTTTATTGGAAACCATAGGCCTTGTATCAAGTTTTAAATTTTAAACTAGAAGGAAAACCAGCTATTCTTTATGTGTTGTTAAGATTACAGTTTTTTACAAACTTTAAAATCATTTAGAATTATACTGTCAGTGAATTTAATTTTTTTATAAACTCACAGCCTTTACATTATTACCTTTTTATGCAAATTAAGATTAGATATATATAGGCATTTTATTTTTTTTAAGACAACATTATCTTGTTAAAATAATCCACTAAGGAATACCCTTTTCTAGTAAAACCAACTTTATTTAGATCAACCATTATTATTTTTTCTATATGCCTTTAATTGTGCCCCTTCAAGAGAAACATATTGATTCAAAGCAAAAACTGCTTATTTTATTCATAATTTCTGAAGGAAGGAAAACAATGTTAAGCGTTAGTTAAAGTAAAAACAGATCTAAAATGTTTTACCAAACGTAAACAGAAGAAGATTGATTGAAGACCGCCAAAGTTAACCCATTTACAGCTGCGAACTTGACCTATTGTTTCCAATGAAAACACGCCATAGATTACATTTCGTGCCGCCGATTCCAAAAACACCCACCCTAAAACCACGTTGACTAATGGCATTTATACTTAAGAAATGGCTTGTATTTATTATTCTCCTCCTGTCCACCTCACTGTTGTGCAAATTCATTGTTGTAGTTGTAAATTTAAGCTGAAAGTTGTTGCGCCGACTTCACGGTCAAGAAAACCGGGGAAGGCAATTAAAATGGAATCAATAAAGCAAACAGTATGCGGGTATATTGTATTTTCACGAAGGTTCTATATATTCTACAACATGGAGCTGCGAAGGTCAAAATGTTATCGGCAGTGGGATTATTTACACAGTATTGGTTTCCTCACGCAATCGCTCGATTTTCCCCTGTCTTCAGATGTCTGGAACTCCCGTCTTTATCTCTCGAACGTAATACGAACTCCCAGGCGAAAGTCCTGCTCTGAACCTTGGATTACGAGGGATACGCATTGGTCTTATAGTCATGATGGACATGCAAGCGTGCCTGGTATTTGGTGCTGCCCGTACCCGATTGCATTCCCTGGGTGCGATGCACCAGGCTGGCGGATCCGTCGATCTTCGTCCGACTGTCGGCACTGCTCCAGAGTCCTGCGATGGCCTCTAGTGCCAGTTCCGTCTCATCGTCCTTGTCATCGTGCTCCGCCGAAACCGTGAGATCGATCTGGCGTCGCTGGCGAGGAACCGATGCCACAAAACCACAGGAGATAGCGAGCAGCAGTAGGAGGAACTGAAGTGCACGCATGTTGAAAACAAACTGAGATCGTCAATGGATGTTAATCTCGGGGTGGAATTTTAAATGGGAGCTGGTTTTATGGGGTTGTTCCAGATTTCAGCTGTTTCATAAATGAAAATAATAGCAGTCCTCGCTTTGTGCTGGTTTGTAACAAAAATCCGGATATTTTTTGGTTTAATTTGTTTTAAAATTACTTTACTTACTTATTACTTAATCAAAGCATTTCTGTTTTCAACTCTAAAAAGAATTGTCCCATACATATTAGAGTCAACAGCTTATACCTTTTAAATTTTAACTATTTTTGTAGACATACTTAACTTATATAGGCTTTAAAACTAAATTAAAAAACTTTGTTAAAACGTCTACCGGAACACACCCATATACAGATCATCACAGATCGAAGCTCAAGAATTTTTGTTTGCTGATAATGCGGCCAGCTTATCAACGGCTTTATTGCTCTCTTTTCATTTCCATTCGCTGTAGAATAATTAGTACTATGTGTAAAGATTGAAGCTAAAGCCTAAACTTTGGGCTCGAGGATCTGTGCGGGCGGCCAGTCCCACTGCTTGGCAGGTGCGGTTTGGACCAACTTCTCCCAGGGCTTCCAGCCGAGCATTTTGCGGGCCAGCACCAACTCGTTCTCGGCCTGGACAATCAGCTCCTCCACCTGACCGCAGCCAACAGCCTTCTCCAGGGCAACGATGTCCTTGTTCTGGGGGAATTAATTTATATAAGTAAATGATTCTCTTTTCAGGTAAACTTGTTTCTTAGTTCAATGTTGTTCTGAATTTTAATAGATGCAATAGATGTCTACTTTCTGGTTGATTTAGGGATTAAAGTTATCTATATAAAAGGTCTATATCATATAAAAGGTCGCATTTTTGATTTAATTTTTACTGACAATCATTTAAATTAAAGAAAAATCATAGGGGAAAGTCCATGAAGCTTATAGGTACAAAACATTATTATTAGATAGAAACGAGACTTAATCGAAGACTGAATATCGGAATATCGAGATGACATTTAAAAAGGAATATTTAGAATTTATATTAAATCGAAATAATAATTATTAATATCTTATGCTTTGCAGAAACAACATTATAGCTAGAAATGTATCTTGTAACTCTTGATAACAAAAATTGATTTTAAGAAATATACCAATATCTTAAGGTAGTATAGGCATTTCAAAGTGACATTTTATATGATTTTTTTCTAGAATTTCTTCTCCAGATCAAGGCGATAAAAATATATCCTTTGTAAATAGGTTTCTCTAATCCAAAATAATCTTACTTGGGCCACAGCATCGGCGCGTTGTTTGACCAATTGCTCCGTGTATTTCCTGTAGCTGGCTTCCTCTGGCATCTTGGCCACCGCACGCAGGATCTTTCCATAAAGAGCACTCAGGGCATGGTGAGGATTGGAGGACACGGCGAGTCCGGTTAAACCTGTGGACTGCAGAAGGAATCGATGACATAACCATAACAATTGCAAGATCGGCACGAATCTCGGGGTTCGAAATATTTTCCCCTGGTTTGCATACTCGGGTTTATTCTTATTCTGCATTAACTTACCGCCTTAATAATCTTGGCCATGTTTGGAATAGTTTTTTAGCCGAAAATGCTTAATTTTCCGCACGATTTTTTGTAGTCAATGAAAAACAGCTGTTGTTTAGTGCTGTTAAATATTGAAGGTACTTCGCAGTGTTGCCTAATTTTGATTCGGCAACTATCGCACTTTATCGATAGTTTGGCGGTAAAAAAAAAATTCAAAAAGGTGAAATACGATTATGGGATTTAAAAAGGTTGGAATAATAAATTAAACATTTTGCCATAAACTAATTATTTTTCATAATTCCTTTAAATTTAAATATAAAATATTGATAGAAAAAAACAAATTCAGTATTAAGGTATATTTTTTTTTAAAATTATATTTCAGATATTTTATTACGGTTTAATAAACTTTTCCTTCGGGTTATCATTTTGTTTATAAAAAACATTTATTATTAATAAACAATTCGTTCACATTTTAAATACCTTTTCAATTTTAATTTTAATTTCCCTAAAATAAATAAACAAGGTTTTGATTTCTTTTCGAATAAGTCGTAAAATGCTCGTGGGATTTTATTTATTTATCACAATTGATTTTTTAAATATATAAAAATGAGGCGCTTTGTGAGTCTCAACAAGAACTGACCAGTGTAGCTGTGAGTTTAATCTAAGGATGTGATTGTGCTTACAACTCTACATTTTAATTAAAATATGTCCTTGAACTATGTTGTATTGACGGCTAAAGGGGCTCGTTCTGCTACGCCAAATGCCGATATAAGGACATTGACCACCGTAACAATAAAAATTCCGATGACTGTGTAATTATTGATTTTGTTCGCCCGGCAGATCTCTTGCTCATTCTTGATGTTATACCGGCCATTCCAAATAAGGCCCACGCCAACTGCGATCTTAAATGAGAAAGAGTTCATAAATAACAATAAATTTATGAATAATTATATACGAATATAACATAAAAAAAATTATGGATAATTATATAAATAACATTTAATACAGAAATACCATTTCTTTGTCGTGAATTTATTTATATGGTTTTTAAATTATTATAATAAAGGAATCTTATGATATTTAAGTAAATCAAAATTGTTTATTTTTAAAATTAAATGTCTAATTAAGGTTTGCAATTGAAACTGATAATGATTTTTTCAAAACATAAAAAATATATGTTTTTGCTATCAACAAAATTGTTCGTGATTTTTGGTCATTGATCAAAAGGCAAATAATAAAAATAAGCATGTTAAAAGCTAAAAATAGCGCCTTTTTAAAATAAATTCCTACACTTGTGTTCAAATGCTTTACCTGGAATATAATGCTGAGCGAGATGAATAGGAGACTGGGATAAAAGTAGGGATGCTGCGTGTTGGTTTCCAGCACATAACGCAACTGATTTGCATTGGCGGACAGTAATGCCAGATCCATCATTCCCTGTGCCAGGGTTTTCTTGTGCTGATAGGCATTCACATCGGGTATGGGTGTCTCCACTCCGTTGATGTTCACAAAACCGGGTCCATTATAGCCCGGAAAGGAGAAACTGGGTCGTCTTCCTCCATTGGGTACGAGCACATTGACTCCACCACCTCCGCCTTTGCCTCCTCCGCCGCCCAGAAGACCATCGTCCACGCCGGGATTGCCACTCCCATCTTCAACAAAGGGACGATCGTCGTTGTCATCGTCATCCGTTTCGGGCACTGTTAAAAATCACAGGAAACAATCAATTTAAATTGGTATCCCCTGGCTTAAGCTACTTACACATTAATGTGGTTTACAAAAATTGTTTATTGATTGCGGTTTAAAGCAGCATTAGTCACAAGATCGATTAACATATAGACAAGCACAGAAATTGGATTCTAGTATTTCACAGATAAACGAGTAAGTTGAAGTTGGGATACGAACCTGCTCTGGGAACTCGAACATTATTACGTGTCAGTCCGTCGATTGCATCGCCGTTGCTGTGATTGTTGATATTTTCCTGTAAAATTTCAATAAAACGATTCCGGAATATTAACGAGTTTGCTTCCAAAATGCATTGTTTAAAAATGCAAATTAAGTCTTGAAAACGGCACAGCTTCTGTTCTGACAGCAGTGATAAATATGCAAACTGAGATTAATGCAACTATATGTTAAGTGGGGACTATATTTGCCTATCTGTACATAAGTATATATGAAAACATGTACGACAGAATTTGCAAAAGCTTAAATTTAATGATAAGGTAGTTCGAGGACAAAAATTGCATGACCGATTGTAATAAAGCAAACAAATTATTCACCTAATAAGAAACTCCATTGTCTAGACTCACAAAGAAATTAAAATATAATATATATTATAAATCGCAAATTAGGAATTAATAAAAATTAAAAACAAAATTACAAGTCATTGTTTATCAATAGAAAAACAATTAATGATTTGAAGCATACAAATTCAATCATGCTTTTTAATTTTCGTTGACTTTAAATGGGAAATCACATGTTTCGAGCATGAAATAATTTTTTTGTATTGCAAGAAAAACCACAAGCTCAAAAAGATTTATTAAATATGCACTGTTGATCTATGAATCATAAAAATGGATCCCCCTGCTACTTTTTCCAAAAAAATGTATGCCAACTGGGGGGAAGTTTTTCTTCTCTTTACACAATAATTATCACCAAGTACTTTATTTTTTATTTCTATTTAATAGATTTATCAGAAAAGTAAACAAATAACTGGTTTTTTAAACATCCTGCATTTTATTGTTTATTGGGTTAAAGTTTATTATTTACATTCTCAATAATTAACTATATGACTATTAGTGCGTTGGAAATCCCAACTTTCAAAGAGGAAATAATATCTTTGATTTGCCATTGATTGTAATAAAAAATCTCAAATCCATAAAGACTTTTAAGGTGACCTATTTCTATTACTAACTCATGGGTTTTTTTCCATTCCTGCTGTTACTTTTCCCGAAAAAATGTAGATGCTAAATGGGAAGCTTCTCCACTGTTTATATACAAATTATCAAGCTTTGCGAAACTATACTTTTTTGTAGTAAGTAAATAGGCCTTTCGACATTCTATCAGCAAAGTAAACAAAGCACTGATTTCTCAACACATGTTTAGCCTTCCACCCCAAAGTTTAATGATTGTTAAGCTAATACTCACTTGATTTCTCGTCAAAGTTTTATCGTCTTCATTCGGCAGCTTATCCATTTCCAGCGTTATATGCTGTAGCTCACTCATTTTACAATTAATTTAATACAATTAAACGGCTTGGGGCAATTATAAATTATGAACTGCAGTGTGATCTTTTGGCGTCAAATGCTTAAAGAATTCCTTTGTTTGTTTGTGTCCGTTAATATAGTATATTTTTATCTAGATCTTTTCGGTCAAAAAAACTTTGTTGTTTATGTCTTATTTTTTCTTCGGCTTCTGTTAATACTCGTGCGCGTTTTGCGACCGCTCAGCACGCTATTTCTCGTCCAACTGACCAGAGATACAAATAAAATCGCGAATGTTGTCTCTGGTCCACTTGTTTGGCCGGTTGGTCGTCAGCGTTACGTTTCCCCAAACAATCGGCTATGGGGATTTCACGTTCTCAGCCTACAGAGTTACAAACAGTTTGTGTTGATGTAAGAAAAAGAATTTGTTAACACAACATTCTCCAAAGAGCTGATATACAGGAAAAAAAATTTAAGATAAAATGTTCTTTTGATAAAAAATACACTTGCTGGTTGAAAACTTGCGGTTTGTCAGATTGAGGTCAGTAAATAACAAAATATATATTTATGGTGCATTATGGTATTTAAATAAATTTATTTTGAGATTGCCTCCTTTTATTTTTATATGGAAAAAGGTTCCCTTTAAACACTGTACTTCAAATTTTGTTTTATAATTTTTAGCCATGAATTTTTTTAATATAAATAAAATAAAAATATATGTAGTTTATTATGTATTATTATAAATTTATGGTCGAAACCTGCCTTTTTTCTCAGTGTACATATAAATGTTTTTTAAAGCTTGCGCCTATCCCTCTCTTCTCTCTTCCAACTTTCTCTCTTTCTAATTTAATACACCCCTCTCTTTCTTTTGGTTAAATATTTCCGCAGTCTAGCACGCTAGTTCCTAGTTCGCATTAAAATGCATTCGACTAGAACTTAATTCTCATACGTCATTGCATTCAGCGCGATAACCCAGAGCACTAATATATAGACTATATGTCTAGTTTCGCTGCTTTTTTTTGCTACTGTTTGAAAAACGCGATTTCTTGGAAAATGCCCAAATGAGTTGGTCGGAAAATGTCGCAGGGTATATTTGTTTTTCCCCTGATTTTAATTAGTCATCGAGTGGCAGAGCGCAACTCACTGAGGACTTTCACAATTGAAGAACAATCAAGTTCTTTTTGGCCTTAGCGAACATAAAGAAATGGGAATTTTAAAACCGGTTGCTAAGAGATTGGTAGCATTAAACATACATATATACACACACAGCTATATTTTCAAGAGTTTACACTTTGGGCATCTTAATGGCTCGGGATGCTATTGGACCAAAACCCAATGGCTTTCAATATTTCATGAATTTATTTTTGGCATATGAGATTTTTGACTTTGGTTTACTTGTCATTTATTTCTGCAAAGCAGGCCGAAATATGAAAATGAGAAAATACAAAATATTATATTTATATTATTACAGAATATAATTTAGTTTATCACACCAATACAAATAATTACTAGATAAATTAAATATTAAATATATATTAAATAGTTATATAAAATCTAAATCCAAATGCATATATGATTGAATTCCTTTATTTTTATTTTTAGCTGTAAAGGAAATTAAAGTATTTTAATAATTGGGCAAGAATAATTTATGAAACATTAGATTGTTAACGTGTTGTCTTTATTTTAATGTAAAGTTTTTAAATATTGTTTTCAAATTATAACGTCTTTTCTGTTTCCACACTTTGTAACACTAATGCTCAAATTTGCGTTTTGTTCGTCGAATGTAAGTTTAAATTTCGAATGCAACCATGGAAGCGCGGTATTTTTTTCAAATTACTGGTTATTTAAAGTTATAAATTTTATTTTTCTAATTGCAACTTTTTTTTGTCGTTTGAGCAAAATAGTTTAATAGGTCCAACTCGGGTTATTCAAACTTCTATAATGGGCTTACATTTGTAAACGGTAAATTTGTTTGTAAAAACTTAATTTTTGTAAGCAAATAAGCATTAAAGTCCTCTTGTTAATAATTAAATAATTTATTTTGGGGTAAGGTTTCTTAATTCAAGACACAACTCTCCAAAAAGGTATGGTGAGCTTTAGCCTAGCCTCAAACCATATGTAGTGCACTTTTTAACACTAATTGATTTGCCCGCGCAAGAGGTGTGGTGAAAAACTGAACTTCAAAAGAGAATGAACGATTTTAATTAAAATACTGATTATAAATGCAAGCCGCAGTCGGACCGCAAAATCTCATTTTCTGTTGTCAAATGTCTTGCATTTGATATGCAGTGTTTGCATGTGTATTGAGCCAATTGAGACTTGCGAGGTAAATACAACTTTAGTTAATTAGTCGTTTCGGTTAATATGGTTATTGAATGTGCATGTACAGACATGGGCAACTATACATATCCTCGTACATGTGTATAATGCATGGCAATAATCTGGCAACTGTTATGTCATTGCATAAATTATGATTGTGGGCTTGGGCGTGGGTGTGGGTGGTGTACAGCCTTTAGGTATAGGGTGCGAGCATCAATTCCTTTGCCCCGAATCGATACAAATATGTAATCGGGAACAGTGCAGGTCAAATTACTGTCATTAGAAAACATAAAGTTATTATTTCACCTCTATAAAAATTGTCTAGTTTATCTATAGTTTTTATTTTGCAAAGAAAGGGTAACCCTTGACCCACAAAAATTACTTATAAATTTTTTTCTTGTAATATTTTTATTTAATAAGTTCAAAACGTAACTATAATTCAAAGCACAATCACTGATTGCACTTATTAAAATGTCTACTACCAAATAATACAATTGTCTTTGATCAGAAAAATGTTAACTTATTTAAAGTTCAAGTTTTTAATGAAGCGGAAGTATATCTGATAGCTAAAATCAATCAGTTGATTTTAATACAAATCCACATTTTATACAGTCGAACTATAACAAATGTTTAATCCGTAAAGATCGTCGACCTCAAATGATTCTATTAACATAAAATCTCAGGATGGTCTAATAAGAAAATTTTTAACTTTTCTAAACTCTTTATATTTTACGATTATTGTCATAGATCACTCAAGTTTGATATTTGTTAAATAGAGCCAAAAGTAATCTTATAAATAAGCCGAGCTTACATTAAGTATTTCTATATAAAAACTCCTTTTACAGAGCTCTAATCCTTTATTTTCCACTCCCAATATTCGCACCCCCAATGTAGTCGTATGTAAAAGGACAAACAATCATGTCCTACACTTGTTCCCCTGCTCCAGCATCCGTATGCATGCATAATCGGACTGGCCCAAAACCGAAATGGCGAGCACGTAAACGGAAACCCAACGACAATCGCACATTTCCCAATAATTATATTTCAATGCATCAGAATTTCAGCAGGACAGTTGTCTGGTTTCCGCAGGACAACAGCAAATGGAGAATAATAACAACACCAGCCGTGGAATCATCATCATCGTCATTGGTTTATCATCGTTGGCAGCAGCGGGAGCATCATAGTCATCGCCATTGATACAGTTATGAATGCCGGGGAGCATAACAAAGGCCCCTTGGTCAGTTCAACTCCACATCCACACCCACTGACTCCTGCCCCTCGAAAGTCCTTGCCCATCCTGCGGTAAGTGGGTGGTGGGGTGAAAGGGAGTGGCCTTTGTGGGCGGAACGCCGGTGTGGTGTGGTTGGTCATTATCTGTTTAACAGTTCCACATTTAACGATGAAACGTCCGCTGGCACTGCCATCTCGTCATGATATGGCCACATTTGAGTGGGCGGCTTTGAATGGCTCACATTCCTCCCACAACCCTTAATTCCCATACGCCAATCTCACTGCTAGGGATGGCAAAATGAGCTATAGTTTCAGTGGAATAGGGAAAGAGGTTTTGACCTAAAGGAATTTATTCAGGCAACTGGTTAAAAGTACGCCTATAGTTTTAATTGTTAAAGGAACAGCCAAACACTATAAACAGCTAACAATTGCTTCATAACTAATATTATTTTTAGTCTATAAAATATTATATGTTTTAAAGATGCATAGTATTGTCATATTATTTATATAATTTTGTTCATTCAAAACCAAATATTATAAGTATATTTTATTATTTTCTAGGTTAAAAATATATTTATTTTGCTTAATGGAATCAAAATGATTTAAAATGTTCAATGAATTTTTTTAAACAACTAATGTTGTCAATTTCGAATAAATTGTATTTTTATTTGTTATTTTAAGTAAATAAAAATTATTTAAAAATTCTGTTAATAAATTAAGTTATTAGCCAAGTTTTCTCAATTTCGAAAAACTGTTTATTTATTTACTTTTCCAAGGTCTTTCGACAAACTAATTAATGTCGATCTTATGAATCCTTTCTAAATGAAAAATTTAGTCTATCTATCTATTTAGCCAACCATAGTTATGTAACATAACTAATGCATTTACATTTAATTAAAATAATGTTAAAAGCTTTCATCCTTAAGGTGCATACATTATATTTCCTTAACATTTCTCAACAATTTAATCGTTGTAATCAAATTTAGACTTCGAAAACCAGAAGCGTTTTAACTAGATTATTCCGTAGGTGAGCAGCCAATAATGTTGGCCATCCCTGATCTCCCCGACTCCTTCTGCAATGTCCTGGCATATTGTGTATTACAAACGGACAATCAACGGACAGGCATGGGGCCAATAAGTTTATTACTTACCTCGGCGCATTGCCCAACCAACCATGTTCAGATCGGGAAGGAGTGGAGAGGGGGCAGAGGGTGTTGTTCAGGATAGCACACAACGAGTCCTTGAGCAGGAAACGGACATATACACAAGCACACACACAGATGTTCGACATCGCAACGCATCATCTTGCCGTGTATAATTCATGAAATGCACATCATTGCCTCAATAATGATTGCCGTTACACACATACAACACACACACACACACACGCCTCGATGGCTGTGTATACAAAATGTATTTGCCTGTCATGGCAGGGGGATTCCCAGAGCTCATGAGTCCATATGTGTGTGTGTGTGTGTGTGGATGACTCGTTATTTGTGGGTATCCCGTTGCCTTGTTGATTGTTGAATTAGACGGTAGATACCAACTAAATTTTATGTCAGTGATTCATACAATTTCAATGCCTTATGTATGTTGCATAACTGAATGGGGGAGTCTGTGCGAATGCGAAATGTAGTTCTGGTTATGCTTGAAAGCCGGCTTTCTTTAACTTGGCAATTCATCAAACTATATTTATCCAATTAGTATTCTCTCCTATTAAATAAGTAATTGTTCTTATTAATCAAGAGCTTATATTTAATGAAAATGGACTATGACATGTTCTAATAACAATTG